AGACTATGATGGTGAACTTCTACACAACCATTCTTAAAGTCCATCCTCACCTCCTCCATCACAACCTGGTAAGCTAATAGCACCACCAAGGACAAAGTCAGGCTGCAGCAGATCCTCCACTCTGCAGAGGAGGTGATCGGCTGCCGCCTTCCATTCCTCAATGACCCGTTCACCTACAGGTCCCTGAACCTAAAAATATGCATAATTTTTCTGCTTTATTAATGCTTTTCTGTGTGGATATTAGTTCAATTGGAATCAGCATTAAATCAGGATGACATTGTTTTTTTGTACACTGTGAGAGAAATCAATATATGTATAATCACTTTCTTAACTTCTCTCTGGTAACTTTCCACAATTAAAGATTTTAAAGGTTCTTTCCTCCTTCAAGGTCTCAGAAAAGGTCTCCTCATATTTTTCTAAGAATCTTTTGTCTTGAATATTGTTTAATACAGATCCAGGATGAAGGACAGACTTTACGTCTCATTTCAGGTTCAGAGGGGTATAAAATGCACCATGATTTGTTTTACCTACGAGCGGCTTAGTGCATCACATGAAACACTTTTATGGTCCTGCTGGCTGTTCCCACTTTATGAAGTTTTCCCTTTTAATAAAATTCTAGTGCACACTTCCTCAGACAGACTCAGACTTTTGCTCTGAAATAAAATGTCCGCAAAAGTTCAGTGTTCATACCAGTTCATATCAGGTGAACACATGCCACAAGTCAAGCACTTATTTGGTTTCTATTTTTTCAAAGTCCCTGATATTTTAATGCTCCATATTTATTCATTATCAGATCATTTGATCCTAATTATGAGTAATGGCACTTTCCAGTGATTTTATTGCGTGGTGAACTGATGGAGAAAACTGGGAAGTTTTCAGCATTGTAGCTGAAAACAAACTGCAGCTTTTAGAGTTTAAACTGATCATTGACTCTTGGAGGGCAACTGAAGGGATTCCTCTGAGGGAGAAGCATATATTATAAAAAAGAGCCCACACAATTCAAACGCTTCAGTCTGAAGATTGTTTTGTAGGTGCTGGATCAGATGAGTATATATGGCAAAGGAAATATGATCCAACTCACACTCTATGCTATTCATTACTGCCTTCCCTGTAATTCTCTTTTAATCATTATTGTTTTAACTTGGAGAAGCTCGATGGAGTCTGAACTGAATGTTACGTTTATAACTCTTAATGGATTTGTGCAGCTGCATGAATTCAGGTATCTGTATTTTGTCATCCTGTTTCCAGTTTACATCCT